GCGCATGCAAGACTTCAAGGACGCCTGCTGTTCTCTGGCAACCGGTTCCTGTTTCTTCAGCTTGTGTCTGTGTTTGTTCTTGGCCCGTGTCCTTGCCCTGTTAATCACAGGCTCTGTTTAATTTATGTATCCTTAACAACAATATAATTAACATAAGCTGTTTCATAAAAAGACTTCTTTTTGACTCCCCTCCGTCCTTTCATCATCTGCGCTGTGATGAGAGCGAGCTGTCTGCTGGACTCTCTGGTAGCGGGTGGAGGGGATCGAGGGAATTGACACAGAAAAGGAAAGGATAATTTGTTTAATTCATGAGCGTCTGTGGTTAAGTGCCAGATCGTCCCGCTGAGTGCCACCGCTAATGGTCCCTTTGCCTTCTCCTCCCTCCTTTTTTTTTTTTTTACCTCCTCTCTCCTCTGATCCCACTTTTTGTTTTGTTTTATACCTCCACCAACATTGTTTTTACTCTCTGGCTGTATTAATTTCCTCCATCTCTCTCGTCTCATCATCCTGGTCATCCCTCTGCTCTGCTGCTCATCTCATCCCTCTTACCTCTGTGCCCCATCTCTCCCCCTTCTGTCTCTTCGTCTCTACCCTCAATTAATTTCTTTCTCCTGCCTCATTTGCTGTCCTTTCCAATTCAATATTTTCCAACCTTGCCTGCTCCCAAATGTGCACTCACATACACATGAACTTTTCCTCTTATTCCGTATGTGTCTCTCTGTCTCTCAGGCGCTGGCAGTCCGTTATCGTCTCCTTCAGAGCGTGTCCTTCCCCTGCTCCATGTCAGGCTCACGTCTTGGGGACACGTTGACCTTTTCTACCCTCTCTCAGGTATTACCGTAATTTTTGTCCACTCATGTGGGTGATGCAGAAAGCTTGCCCTGCTCACCCTTTTATCTGAAGGATTTTTAGTCATCACCAGTTGGCTGACACGCTCATGTAAAACACACTCCACCCCCCACATGTCTTAATCCTCATCAGCATCCCTTTTTATCTGTTATTGTGCTTTTATACGTCTCCCCGCACAGCAGTTCAGCTTCAGTAGAAGTACATTTGTTCAACAAACATGTCTTTTTAATGCAACCGCTCTTGAATCAACAAGTGAGTGATGGCACATCAGCTGCTTATTATTCTGCTTATTATTCTCTATTATAATGATGAGCCACGAGTCCACTTGCGTTGATGCACTAAACAGATGCCAACCAAAAGACCTTGAGAAGCTGCGTGGGAAATTAATTGGTTGTCACTGATGGAATTAGCATTCTCCTCTCTCCTCCCCTCTGGTTCTCATTATTCACCCCTCTCTCATCACTCGTTTTCCCTTCTTTCTCCTCTTCCTCAGCCTTCCAGCTCGCAGCACTACCGCCCCCTGCTGGCAGCGGCTGTGAAGGGTTTTCTAACTCGCAGGTTGCTGAGGACGGAGAGAGTGACACAGCTGGTGCGCACCGTCAGGGTGAGTGGAGACAGCAGCGACACGTCTGTTTCTTGCAGCACATGCTCTTATTGTCATTAAATGAGCTCTGCTTGTGTGCAGATGTGTACAGCTGTGCCTAATTTAATTTATTAGGATACCCTTTAGCTACAGCCATGCAGCTGCGATCCTTCCTGGAGTCCTTGACAGTGCAGCATACAGTCTAAAACAGAGACTTCCTCAATCAGGGGTCGCGTTAAACAAATATTTTCCATCACTTATGAGGTTTTTGCGTTCGTTTGTTTTTTAATAGTGACAGATGAATCTGATCATCTGGACAGGCTAAAACACTGGTAGTGGGTTAAGCATAAGATTAACCAACACACATGAACACAGTGTTGCTGGCAACATCTTGTCTTTTATACCATAACAAAACGCAACCACCAGAAGTCCAGTCACAGCCACTGGATGCCTTTGAAAAGTGTGAATGTTGCAGTGAAGTCTTCAATGTCTTACATTTGTTTGTAAAAACAACCCTCAAATGGACTGAGGGATTATTATACCATCCATGTTTGATATTTGAGTAGAAGAAAAAAAAATTGGGGGTATCTTCAGCAGCTGTAGCAACTGTGTTCTTAATTTTGGTGAAATTTAAATTTTTACTAAATAACATGTAAACCAGCAGGTGCTGGCAGCGTTTTTTGTTTTTTGTACTTTAATTTAATCGTAAATCCATGAATATTTTAAATATCTATTTGACAGATTTCACCATTCAGTTTGTCTCTGTGCAAACATAATATTCATGATAAATATAACTAAATAACAGCGCAATCTTTGCTGTGTGTGTGCTTTTGCTCATTTAGGACACACAGCAGTTCCTGCAGGCCCTCCGGCAGCAGAGCACTCAGCTCTGCAACAAACAGGACCTCTTACTGGAGGAGAGAGTCACACTGCAGGTATAAATGTTGTAAACACATCTGTTAACCTCTCTGCTCTCCTGCACACCGTCAACTCAACAATTACTCGCTCCATTAGCAGTTACCACAACAGTTACTGTGACTGCACGCATTCATTGAAGCCATCGTCCGCTCTGTAATTGTTTGCTCCTCCAGCTGCGCGCTGCACTTTATGAGGTCTACGACATATTCTTCAACCTGTCAGCCAGAGAGCGAATGCAGCTGATCAGCTGGGACAGAGAGCTCGCCAAGGAGAGAGAGCTCAGACGACAGGTAACCTTTTCAGGAGATCATAAGCTGTGTTTACACATGTGGTCAGTAGTCAGGTTTTCTTCTGGTTCTCCAGTCAAGTGACTGTAAAGTGACCCTGGAGTATTTTAATGGCAGTCTTAATAAGAAAATTCACATTCTCTAAGTACTGTGGAAAAGTGCTTCAGTGCTTCCTTTATTGCCACCTGTATTACTTCCTTTTGCAGAGGCTACACAGAATCTTTTGTAAGAGGAAAAGAGATAATGCACTCCCACAATTCACAGAAACACCAAAGAAACAGTCAGCATGACTGAGAAATGATGCAGGTCATTTAAATGTTAATGAACAGTATGTTTTCCATTTTGTGGCATAACCTTTATTATGGTTGAACCTCTAAACTAAAAGGTGAACTCTGAATATACTACATTGCAATAGTAAAACTGAATGATATGATGTTGTTACATTGTTTGATAGACTTCGGGGGGTGTGTGTGTGTGTGTGTGTGTGTGTGTGTGTGTGTGTGTGTGTGTGTGTGTGTGTGTGTGTGTGCACAAAATCATGAATTCATTGTAGTGCAGTCAGAGAAAGCTTTTAACAAAATGAACACTGGATCATCTCTCCAGCAGGAAGAGAAAATATGAGTGGATGGGATGAGCAGCTAATCATATTTCACTTTATGTTCTCTATTCCTTTGACTTAACCAAAGTGTCCTTCATAACAGGTGATTAACCTTATGTTTAACTCCTGACATGCACAGGATATGCATATAGTTAGCTGTAACTTGTTACAATACAATACTACCCATGTTCCGGTGTACCACACCTGAAGACTCATTAATTCATAAGACTGTGTGTTCATGTGACAGCAAGTCAAAAGGTTAAAGTAAGAAAGACTCATACTGTTTTGTTTTTGTTTTTTCCTCACTTTCACTATAAAATTAGGGCTCATGGGGATGTAAGAGTACACCAGCTGGGTCAAAAGACACATCACACAAATGCAGTTGTGGTTAGAAGTTTGTATACACTCACTGTTGGCATGAATGTCACAGAAATTTTGGTCTTTGTTTATTTTTAACTTCATTTTTCAGGGTGGAGTGGTACATCGTACAGCATATACATCACACATCTTTAATGACTTTTAAAAACTCCAAAGATTTAATTTATTTTGGGTTTTCTGCAACCCACACAGAGTCAAGTATGCATACAAGCTCAAATATATCCATGCACCCCCACTAATAGTTGGTTAAATTTCTTGCAGCAAGTTCAACCTTGACCAGATCCTTTTTGTAGCCATTAACGAGCTTCTGGCACAGTTCTGGCTGGATATTTGGCCACTCTAGACCCAACTGTATGGAGCCCCAGAGCATGATGATGCCACCACCATGCTTGACAGCTGGGCTAGTGTTCTTACATTTGAAAGTCTCCCCTTTTTCCTCCAAACATACCTCTTGTCATGTTGGGCACAGGACTGAACCTCTGCCTCATCTAACCAGGAAACTGTTTCCCAGAAGGCAGTGGGCTTGTCCATGTGGTTAGCTGCATATTTCAGTGAAGCTGGAGGTGTCAGTTTTGGGTCAAAGACTTCTTTCTCTGCACCCTTTCAGTCCATTTTGAGTTTCAACTCATTTCATGGTGGATACTGATGCTGATGTTCCAGCAGTTTCCAGTTCATGGCAGTTTTGAGCCTTGGTGGTCCCTGTGTTGTTCCTGAACATCCAAACCAATTTCCTCTCATCTGAGCGTGACAGTTTGGGTCTTCTTTCAGACCCTGGCAAAGTGGTGACTAGGGCAGGGCAATATGGCCAAAAATATTTATCACAATATATATTTGAAAATGTGCGATAACGATATAACTGAGGATATAATTGACACAAGACAAAATACTTTACAACTCCACAACTTTATTAGTGCAAAAAAACCCCATCAATGTATTTTCACTTAAACAAGCAGCTGTTTTTTATGTGCATTAAAGTTATATAAAAATTTAACAGTGCAAATGCAAATTCCTTGCTGACAGTTTAACCAAAAGGCATTTCCAATGGAAATTGGCCAACATATCCTCAGCATAACCATGTATAATATCCACAAAACTTAAAAAGAGGTTATACACACACAATACGGTAATATTATGTTGAAGCACAGTACGTATTACTCCGCGAGGCTCCCGACTACGGTAGCCGTAATGCTCTGACATCAAGCAGTGCGGCTTTGTAGCTTCCGAAAGTCGTACTAAAACATTTTTTGACATATTTCTGAGCACCGTGTACCACATAAAATCAGTTCGAAGTCAGTAAGCACAACCAGAATTCATACATAAGGCACACAGGATTATAAGGGGCACTGTCAATTTTTCAGAAAATCAAAGGATTGATTTTAAGTGTGCCGTATTTTCC